ACTGGGCGACTCGTTTTGGCAGGACATGCCGGGCCTTTGACAGACCAGCTTCGCCAAGAATGACTCCAGCCTGCGCACAAGAAATTCAGAGGCAGGCGGCATGCGCTCTGAAACCATTCAGCAACGGCCTTCGTCTTGAAGGCTGCCTGTCGTCAGGAATTGCACCATAGTGCTCTCCGAAGTGCTTCGCTTCGTTTCTCGCATCGTTCAACCTGCTCTATAATCAAGCCAGCCTGAGTCACGTCTCGTGCGATACTTCCAGCGGCCTCTGCACCAACTACGTAACTACTTGCCGTGAAGTTTGCAGTAGCTCTGATGCGGACCTGGCCTTCCTCGTCTTCGGGCTTCACCTCGTGCTCGGTGCCTCGCGCAGCACATCTCACATTGGCGGGCGACTTTTTGCACAGGACACCCGGCCTTCAGCATCACGAGACCAACGACCATAAGCTTGATGCTTCCAGCCGTCATTCCAGCCTGCTGCACAGGCTGCCGTGTGGGGCACGGCACATCGAATCACCATCAGGCGGCACGGCCTCCGCGCCGACCCTGCCGATGATATGGCATTGCTAGACTAGAACTGAAATTTCCGGCTACAGTACACTTTGAGCCTGGCGGCATTCCGGCACCTTGAGATGCGCAAAGATCGAACATCGGCAGACGCAAACATATTATCATCATTATGCAAACTCGTACATGCAGTGCACACAGCCAGTGTCATTCAACATCACATGTAGGATCCGAGCTCCGCGTAAAAAGCTTTCAGCAACTTGTTTCAGACATCTGAGTACTTGAAGCTTGAGACCCTATCCTACTCTGAACACAAAGTCACTTCAGGGTGGTTGGAAGTTTCGGGGTAAAGCCCGCCTCGCGGCTGAAACCCCCGGGCCCCCGAACCCAACGCATGCGAACACTACCTGTGTCTTAAAAGGGAACTGGCGTGTGAATGGGACTGCTGGCCTGAAGCGAGAGATGCTCCGTGCCTGAATTTGGGCAAGCTGCAGCATTTCGCATCCGCAGAACCACCGAACACTGTTGCATGCGACGAACAACTTAGAATGCCGGCCAAAGCCAAGGCTCGTACCCAGCTACACGGCACTCGTCTGCCAAACGATAGTGGCTTCCGAAGCAATCCCAAGATTCAAAGGATCCAACTGGTCCCTTTCTTAGATGCCGTGAGATGTCGGGAGTTAGGGACCACACGATACGCAGATAAATATATAGAGAGAGTGAGAGAGTGCGTAGAGTGAGAGGGTGAGTCAGTGTACATGACAATATGCAAGCAAGAGAATCGCAAGCAGCCGGCCTACCGTCTTCGAAGGATACGGTGGAACGCCAAAGGAAACCTTTTTTTAACACACAAGACAATGACTATTGTGCAAGCAAAGAGATGTTGGGGNNGACCAGGAGGATTTCCACCCGCCCCTGGAATGATGTCGGGGTTGGCGATCTGGCTTCGGTTGCGTTTAGAAACCTGGAAAGCTAGGGACTACACTTCTCTGGTTGGTTTCATAATAACACAGTTATATTGCTCCACAACATAACTGCGCGACTGCAATCTAATCTTCGATATGGCAGCGAAGCTGTGTTGCTGCAAGCAGAAGATGCTTCGTCTCAAAGATCAACAAGCACAATCCGGCCCACACCCTCTTCCTTCGACTTCCCCTCCCTCCATCACCGACACACATCACTGGTAAGTAAGTTAGCCGAAAGGTTCACCAGGCAGTAGTGGTTTCGGAAAGCACAACTTTAGGGGCAGCAGTTCATTTGCCTTCCGATGCTACGTGTGCTTGGGAACCCAGCCTCTTTAAACTTTAGGTAGGCGCTGCCAGCAGTGACGGACCTTGCAAGGCTGGAATGTGCTCTCTTTCGGACACGTAGAGCATGAAGCTGACTGCAGTTGAACTACATGACGACGATGGCAG